GTAACCGGTTCCGACACCTTTATATACGGGGGACCTGAGTTCCGGTCCATTGGATCTTGGATCTCATTGATCCAACGGTTGAGATGGGAGGGGGCCAAAACGGGGCCGTTTTTTTTAAAGGGGAGGGTTTGGACGAGGTTAGTGATTGGGCTTGGGTTGGAATGGATCCTGGGCGGGATTTGGGGGGTGAATGGGGTTTGGGCTTGAGTTTAATTTTGCCCAATTTACACAACCTTTCCTAATTCCTTTTTTCCAATTTTCCTTTAACTAAAAATTTAATAATAAATAATAAAAAAACCTAAATTAAACCTTAAATTAATTTAAATTGTAAAACTACCCACTTTTTCTACAAATTATAAAAGGTCTTTAATCCTAAAATAGAAAAGGAAAAAATACTATTCTAAGATTAAAACTAAAAATACCAAAAAAAAATGAACCATTTTTGTGATTTTCACTTTAATAAAACAAATAATTAACTAAATAATCCCAAAAATGTAAAGACAAATCCTACATGATATTTTTGTATTTTTCATGATTTTAGTAAATAAATATGCAAAAAAAAAAATTCAAACAATTAACAAAAAAATCGTATGAAAAATCTATAAAAATTCCAAATAATGGGAAAAATTTATTTTCTTAGATTTTATGGGAGTAATCCCCTATAGGGCAAAAATCATATGCTCACAGCTGCCCCTCTTTGCTCGGAAACACGATGAGTTTTCGTGCAAAGATAAAGTGAGCAGATACGAATGATTTTTGCCTCTTCGAATACTCCGTGGGGAGCATTTTTTGAAAGATTTGACCGCACCTTGCTTCCGAGGTTGCCTACATATCCTTTGCTATAAAGAAACCAGGTCAGTGTAGTTCGGGAAGTTTCGGTAGATGGGACTACCAGGAAGCTGTGATTTCATTGTTGCTGCCGTTGCTACTGCTTGTTGAACTCCTTATTACACCAAGACAAAATAAAAGAAGCTAGGCTAAAATATGATCTATGAATTACAAGAATCATATCTATATTTTCAAACTTGATCTCGCAGTTTCTGCTGCCCTGCTGACTTATACTTTTCAGGTGAGCTTCCTTTGTTGCTTATTTGAATTGCTTTCTGAAGTGAATTCCTTTATTCTCCAGGTGGCGCCTGATTGCCAGCATTTGAACTGTATTCCCGTGTTCTCCGGGTGGGTGCCTAATTACCAAAACTTGAATTGTATTCCCTTTGTTAACTTAAACTGTTTTCCCTTGAAACCTGTGTCATCTTACTTTGAAACTTGAATTGCTTTCCTTATTCTCCAGGTGGGAGCCTGATTACCAAACTTTAACTGTATTCCCTTGCTCTCTAGGTGGGCGCTTGATTTCCAAAACTTTAACTGTATTCCCTTGCTCTCTAGGTGGGCGCTTGATTTCCAAAACTTTAACTGTATTCCCTTGCTCTCCAGGCGGGCGCTTAATTGCCAAAACTTTAACGGTATTCCCTTGCTCTCCTGGTGGGCGCCTGATTTCCAAAACGTCAACTGTATTCCCTTGCTCTCCTGGTGGGCGCCTGATTTCCAAAACGTCAACTGTATTCCCTTTCTCTCTAGGTGGGCGCCTGATTTCCAAAACTTCAACTGTATTCCCTTGCTCTACAGGTGGGCGCCTGATTGCCAAAACTTGAACTTGCCTTTCCTCGAATCTTGACTTGTTTTCCCTTGTTCTCCAGGTGGGCTCCTGATCGCTGAACTTGACACGCCTTCCTCTGAACATTGCTGCTTTCCCTTTGTTCTCCAGGTGAGTGCCAAATTTCCAACACTTGTGCTGATTTTCCTCGAAACTTGACGTGTTTTCCCTTTCTCTCCAGGCGGGCTCCTGATTGCTGACCTTGAACCATCTTCCTTTGAACATTGTTACTTTCCCTTTGTTCTCCAGGTGGGTGCCTCATTTCCAACACTTGCACTGTCTTTCCTCGAAACTTGACTTGTTTTCCCTTGTTCTACAGGTGGGTTCCTGATTGTTGAACTTGAACCATCTTCTCTTGCTACTTGGAATTGTTTTCCTTAGAAACTTGCACCATTTTCTCTTGCTCTCCAGGTGGGCGCCTGATTGTTGAACTCGCATCGTTCTCCTTTGAAACTTCAGTTGTTCTCTCTTGTTCTCCAGGTGGGCGCCTGATTGCTGAGCTTGACCCGCTTTCCTTTGAACTTGTATTGTCTTCCCTAAAACTTGAGCTGCTTTCTATTCTTGAAACTCGTGTTGTCCTCCCTGGTTCTTCAGGTGGGCACCTGATTTCAACAAAAACAGACAAAACAAAAGAAATATTTCTACCCCAGTTTGATATTGGGAACATCTATGAGTGTTATACGCTTTTTGTTATCAAAACAAATTCTAAACTAAATTACTTTATCCTTAAAATTTTAAACCAAGCCTCATCTCAAAAGTGAAAACTTAAATTCCAAATAATACTTCCCAAAATTAGACCTCTCGTTAGACCTTGTCATTAGCGAGGGTCGCAAAACTTTACGAAATCTTGTTATCCAAGAGGGTACTGGAACTTACTGTCGAGCCTGTCTAGCACTAGCTTTCCTCATGGAGGGTTTCTCCAAAACAAACAAAATTTTCTGCCCATGTTTCAATCAAAGAAAAATCTTGTCAGTTTGAAAGTGTGGTGGTTAGTTTGCGGCATTCTTGATAAAGGTGGCCCTTTCGCTACTGTGCTTTGCTTGGACTGGCCGTCTTGAACTGGCCAAGAATTGTTTGCCTTCCTGACTGAATTTCAACCACAGGACCCTGAATGACCTGAATGCTCTACACCCAACCTGTTGTTTCAATATTTTTGTCCTTCCAATTTGAACCTCTGTATCTTCCCCAAAATTTACAAACCACTCGACCGCCTAAACTTTCGTTAACACCTTATTTTTCACTTTCGCATCATGCTATTTCTAGTATGATATGGCCGCACTTTGCTTTGTGCGATTTTGGAAGTTGGTAGTAAGCTTTGAAATCCTTTCTTACTTGCTCAAATAAGGCTGGCATTGGAAAAAACTTAGAGAGATAAACCCAAAAGAAATAAAATGCAATGACTTCGAGAGTTGTAAGTCGGGAATAAAAATCAAAACAGAAGGACTGTTTAAGGAAGTAAAGAAAAAGGGACTTATCTGAGTGAAGCTGCTGGAACCAATGATCATGACATGCACTTCGGATTAAATAGCATAGTCCACTCAGTCAATCCTTTTCAGTCTTCACACTTTATGCTTAGGTTCCCATAATCCGATTCCGTTGAAAAGTCAACAACCTTATTTGGCTTGCGGTGCCCTGAATGGTTTTCACCAGCAAACCTCTTTCATTTATTCATCTCTCTACTCACCGTCTTCTTACGGTGCTTGTGAGGGTTTTCACCAGTAAGACTCTCTCATCTTTTCATTTCTCTCAGCTTTCCATCGCCTTACGGTGTCTGTGAGGGTTTTCAATAATAAGACTCTTTCGTTTTTCATTTTCCTACTTAGACCGGAGTGTTTCCCCTGATATGAATCACACCTCTACTTGCTCGACTTGACATCTCTCGAAGACTGATCGGAAGGTCTTTCTTTGGACCGTAATGTGGGCTTTCGGATAGGGTTAGAAATAAAGGATATCACAAAGGCTCAAAACAGCTTGAATGGGTTCAAAATTACAACTCTTGGAATAAGATATCTTACAACAATCACAACTTTTACCCCAGTTTCTTTGCTTGGGGACTTTTGAATTTATATTTTGATGGGACCGAACTGTAAGGCTGCCTACGTATCCTTAAAAGGAAATAGGTTGAACATAGTTCATGTGACTACTTTTTGTTACTATTTTCCCTTTTTTTCTTTTCTTTTCTTTTTCTTTTTCCTACTTTTTTTTCTTTTTTTCCTTTTTTTTCCTTTTTTTCCTCTTTATCTCTATTTTCTTTTTCTCTTCTTTACTTACCTTTTGCGTTTATATTTCTGAATTTCACTACTAATTACAAAAGAGGAGTATGAAAGGAAATAAAAAAGTCTCAAAGGGGTAACAAAGGATAAAGTGTTTAGATAGAAGAACAAAACGCCTTCGTCATTCCAATCTTCAAAATATGCCAAGTACAAACAACAATCTAGACAAACCAAAGAAATCATACATAATATCTTTTGACTGCATCAGAATTGATAGCAATATCTACACATTTGCCTTCTATATCTGTTAAATATAAAGTACCATTGGACAACACTCTCGTTATGATGAGTGGCCCCTGCCAATTTGGGACGAACTTGCCTTTCGCTTCAGCCTGATGTGGAAGGATGTGTTTCAATACTTGTTGACCCACTTCAAACTTCCGCGGACGCACCTTCTTGTTGTATGCTCTTTCCATTCTCTTTCGATACAACTGGACATGACACACTACTTCCAATATTTTCTCATCAATCAAACTCAATTGCTCCAAACCGGTTTTGACCCACTCAAAATCATCAATTTCGGCCTCAGCAACAATCCGAAGGGATGGGATTTCAACTTCCGCGGGTATCACTACTTTTGTGCCATATACCAATAAATAAGGAGTTGCACCTACTGAAGTGCGAATAGTAGTGCGATAACCCAACAAAGCAAAGGGCAACTTTTCGTGCCATTGCCTAGAACCCTGCACCATTTTCCGAAGTATCTTCTTTATATTCTTGTTGGCTGCCTCAACTGCTCCATTCGCCTTGGGGAGGTACGGGGTGGAATTTCGATGCGTAATCTTAAACTGTTGACATACCTCTTTTATCAGATGACTGTTAAGATTTGCACCATTATCTATGATGATCACCTTTGGGATTCCGAACCGACAAATGATATTTGAATGAACAAAATCGACCATTGCCTTCTTGGTCACAGATTTGAAAGTTTTAGCTTCAACCCACATAATTAAATAGTCAATGGCCACCAGAATGAACCTGTGTCCATTGGATACAGCTGGCTCAATTGGTCCGATGACATCCATACCCTAAGCAACAAAGGGCCATGATATGGACATTGTGTGTAATTCAGATTGCGGGGAATGAATCAAATCTCCATGTAATTGGCATTGATGATACTTGCACACAAAACTGATACAGTCTCGCTCCATGGTAAGCCAATAATAACCAGATTGAAGAATTTTCCTTGCCAGAATATACCCACTCATATGCGACCCGTAAACTCTGGAATGCACTTCAGTCATGATGGTCGTGGCTTTTCTAGCATCTATGCATCTTAACAATCCAAGATCTGGAGTTCTTTTGTACAAAACTCCTCCACTGAAGAAAAATTCGCTTGCCAAACGTCGAATTGTTCTCTTTTGATCCCCCGTGGCCTGTATCGGGTATACCTCTAACCTGATGTACTCCCTAATATCGTGGAAACAAGGTTCACCGTCAAGTTCTTCTTCCACCGTGTTACAGTAAGCATGCTGATCGCGGACCTGAATATGCAAAGGGTCAACATAAGCCTTATCTGGATGATGTAACATCAACGACAGAGTAGCCAAAGTGTCAGCAACCTCATTGTGGATCCTAGGGATATGCCGGAACTCCACTAGTCTGAACCGCTGATAGAGATTCTGCAGACATTGATGATACGGTATGAGTTTCAAATCTCGGGTCTCCCATTCTCCCTGGATCTGATGAACTAACAGATCTGAATCTCCCAAAACCAGCACTTCCTGGACTCCCATGTCCACAGACAACCTTAATCCCAAAATGCACACTTCATATTCGGCCATGTTGTTGGTACAATAGAAACAAAGCTGAGCCATGACGGGGTAGTGGTGCCCCGCTTCAGAGATGAGTAAAGCTCTTATTCCAATGCCTTTCATATTAGCAGCCCCATCAAAGAAGAGTTTTCAGCCGGGCTTTACATCCTTTCTGACCTCATCAATATGCATTACCTCTTCATCAGGAAAGTAAGTCTACAAAGGTTCATATTCTTCATCCACCGGGTTCTCGGCTAGGTGATCGGCCAAAGCTTGGGCTTTCATCGCCGTCTGAGTCACATATACTATGTCAAACTCTGTGAGCAAGATATGCCACTTTGCAAGCCTTCTTGTGGGCATGGGCTTCTGAAAGATATACTTTAGAGGATTCAGGCGAGAAATGAGGTAAGTAGTGTAGGATGACAAATAATGCTTCAACTTTTGTGCTACCCAAGTCAAGGTGCAACATGTCCTCTTAAGGGTAGTATACTTAACCTCATAAGATGTGAACTTCTTGCTGAGATAATAGATGGCTTGCTCTTTCCTACCAGTGATGTCATGCTGACCCAGCACAGAACCAAGTGAGTTATCCAGGACGGTCAAATAAAGAATCAAAGGTCTCCTTGGTTCCGGCGGGACCAACACAAGTGGATTCGACAAATACTCTTTGATCTTGTCAAATGCTTCCTGGAACTCATCAGTCTATTTGACCACGACATCCTTCTTTAGAAGCTTAAAGATGGGCTCACAAGTTGTCGTGAGCTGAGCAATGAACCTGCTAATGTAGTTCAGCCTCCCTAGCAGACTCATTACCTCGGTCTTGTTCCTTGACGGTGGAAATTCCTAGATAACTTTGATCTTTGACGGATCCAACTCAATGCCCCGTCGACTGACTATGAACCCCAACAGTTTCCCAGATGGAACACCAAATCCACACTTTGCAGGGTTGAGCTTAAGATTGTACCTGCAGAGCCTTTGAAAAAACTTTCTCAAATCTCTGTCATGGTCAGATTGCTTCCTGGACTTTATGATCACATCATTCACGTAAACCTCAATCTCCTTGTGTATCATGTCATGGAATATGGTTGTCATCGCCCTCATGTAAGTTGCCCCAGCATTTTTCAAACTAAAGGGCATGACCCGGTAGCAATATGTTCCCCACGACGTGATGAATATCGTCTTTTCCGCATCTTCATCATCCATCAAAATCTGATGATACCCCGCATAACAGTCCACAAAAGACCCAATCTCATGCTTGGCATAGTTATCAATCAAAATGTGGATATTCAGCAATGGGAAATTGTCCTTTGGACTTGCTTTGTTGAAGTCACGGTAATCAACACACTCTGGTCTTACCATATTTCTTTGGTATAGGCACAACATTGGCTAACCACGTGGGATACTGCATGACCCGAATGACCTTTGCATCAAACATTTTTGTGACTTCTTCTTTGATCTTCACACTCATGTCAGTTTTGAACTTTCTCAACTTCTGCTTAACGGGAGGGAATGTTGGATCAATTGGCAATTTGTGGACCACCAAATCGGTACTCAAACTTGGCATGTCATAATACGACCATGCAAAAATATCCTTATATTCTAGTAATGCTTTAATTATTTCTTCCCTGATTTGCGGTTCAAGATGGACACTTATCTTAGTTTCTCCGACATTATCTGGATCCCCTAGATTGATTGCTTCCGTTTCATTCAGATTAGGCTTGGATTTTTCTTCAAAATGACTTAGTTCCTTACTAATCTCTTCAAAAGCCTCATCCTCATCATATTCTGATTCATCATCACACTCTATTTCTTGGATTATTATTTCAGAATTAGATTGCCTTTTAAGACTTGGCAGAAGATTCCTCATGCATGTCATGTCATTGAAACCAGCATAAAAAGAACTGTACAGAGAAGAAAAGAAAACAAAAAATAAAACTATCAGGAATGATGGAAAAGTGAAATTGCATTTCATTGAAAATAAAGGATAACAGGGTTTGTACATCAACGAGCGGAAAATAAAAATCTGGGTCACAACCCTAGAATGACCCAAATAGAAAGGAAAACAAAACAAACTACCAAGACTCCTTCTGAGTAGGGAGATGAGTAGCCTTCCAATTGTTAAGCTTTACATTTGGCCTGACGAACTACACGTCCGCTTTGCTAGAACCTTCTCCAACTTCTACCATGTTCACAGCATCAAACAACCTTTGGAACTTTTCAATTAACTCTTTATCAATGTCAACCACAGAACTTGGAACAGTCCTCACTGGGCGTATCTTGGCACCGGGCTTGACAAAAGATTTGGAGAGACGCGGGATAGGCTTCGGAAGTTCCCACGCCTTCTGTTTCAACCTTTTAGCCCTTTTCACTTTTGCCTTGGTAGGTTTGAATCCAAGGCCGAACGTACCCAAGTTTTCAGGGAGGGACACTGGCTGTTTGATACCCTGCAAGGATGCACCCAGACCTTTACCTGGCACAAAGCCATTTTTCAGCATTTCATAGGCCACCATGATGGATGCAAAAGTTATCTTTGGAGTTGGAATACATTTCCCTTCTGGAACCTTCTCGACCGACACTATTTCAGAAACTTGATAGACCCAAGTTCCTTTGTTATCTTCAACCTCAATGAACGGGACATAGGCATCACTATGAGCACACAAATTCTCCTCACCATACACGACAATCTCCTGCCTATCCCACTCGAACTTGACCATCTGGTGCAAAGTGGACAAGACTGCCTTGGTGGCATGAATCCAAGGTCGACCTAACAGCAAATTTTAAGAGACGGCTACGTCTAGCACCTGGAACACCATGGTGAATTCCACCGGTCCTATTGTCAATTCAAGCACTATATCACCAACTGAGTCTTTTCCTCCACCATCAAAACCTCGGACGCATATGTTGTTTTTGTGAATCCTCTCATCATCAACTTTCAACTTGTTCAGAGTAGAGAGAGGGTAGATGTTTGCACTAGAACCATTGTCAACTAATACCCTGGTGACCACAGAATCTTCACATTTCACCCTAAGATAGAGAGCTTTGTTGTGTTCATTACCTTCCACAGGCAACTCGTTATCAGAGAAAGTGACTCTGTTCACCTCAAATATTTTGTTAGCGATCTTCTCTAGATGGTTCACTGAAATTTTGTCGGCGACATGAGCCTCGTTTAGAATTTTTATCAGGGCCCGATGATGCTCGTCTGAATGGATCAGCAATGATATCAAGGAAATCTGAGCAAGTGTCTTTGTCAACTGCTCCACTATGGAGTAATCTTGTACATTCATTTTCCTCAAGAACTCCTCTGCCTCTTCTTCAGTGACTTCTTGTTTTACTAGAACTGGATTATATCTTGATGTTTTAGCTTTCCTCAACTCTTCCGGAGTAAAGCATCTCCCCAAACGAGTTAATCCCTGGGCCTCATTGACTTCTTCTTTCACTTCCTTTCCCTTATAGGTCACTATCACCCATTCATAGTTCCATGAGATAGCCTTGGTGCTGATTGCCGGCAACTGGGTTATAGGCTTGATGATGACAGGATCCGTACGGGCACCCTCTACAATTATGACAGGCTTATTTGCCAATCCTGGCACAACCACTTTTGACTTTTCTTGTTTTGCTGCATCATCACTTGGGGATCTTTTCTTAACTACCACGGATGGCTCACCTTTGTCATGCTCAACTTGTTCACTAATCCTTCAACCGTTGGTTTTTTAGTGGCTTGACCTCGCTAGACTGAATCATCATAACGGGTTGTGAGGGCTTTTTGGGCTCCCCCTTTGTGTTCTATCTTGATCATGTTTGTTTCCTCATGGGTTGGCAATGGGTTCTAATTGATGTTGGGTGCCTCTGGAGTCTGGACCTCAATCCGGTTTATGTCGATGAGCTCTTGGATGGCATTTTTCAAGTGCCAGCACTTCTTCGTATCGTGCCCCGGAGTACCAGAACAATATGCACAGCACAAGGAGTAATCAAGATTATTTGGAGGAGGGTTCGACAACTTCGACTCAATTGGCCTCAGCATATACAACTGCCTCAATCTCTGGAACAAACTGGTATAAGACTCCCTGCAACCTCTCATTTTTGAATACTGGATTGGGTCGGAAACCTGGGCCGGCAGGGTTTCGGTAGGCTCATGGGGGTGGGTAAGCATTTTGTGGAGCTGGGTAGGTGTTTTATGGGGCTAGGGCACGCCATTGTGCATAGGAAGGAGGTTGAGTATATGCCTGGGCGTGGTGGACAGAAATCTGAGGGTCTGGTGATGGGAAGTAATGTTGAGGTGGATTATATGGGGTTTGGGTGTAGGTTCGGTGATGGGGTCGAGGCTGGGTATAATGGTGTGATGTCCCCTCGGTCCAAACCATGATCCTGAATCAACTGTTGCCACATTTGCTTTCTTCTTCTTTCCGTTCACACCTCTAGTGCCGTTTTGAATGGCTTGGGTAATTGCTTTGATGGCCGAGTAGCTCATGATTTTGCTTGATTTAAGCCCTTCACCACCATGCCACCCATCTTTACTACCTCGTTGAAAGACTTGCCTATGGCCGTTATTAGATGGCCAAAGTAAGTAGGCTCCAGATCCTGCAGAAAGTACTCCACCATTTTCCTCTACTTCATCGGGGGTTAACTCTTGCCGCTTGTTCTCTCCAGCGAAAACCGTATTCCCTGAAACTTTCACTAGGATTATTCTCAATCTTAGTTAGAGACAAACGTTCTGGGATGATCTCGATGTTTTATTGGAAATGACGAGCGAATGCTTGGGCCAAATCGTCCCAGGTATACCATCTGTCGTGATCCTGACCAGTGTACCACTCCAATGCCGCTCCACTCAGACTTTGGCTAAAGTACGCCATCAACAACTCATATTTCCCACCAGCTCCTCTCATTTTACTACAAAATCACCTCAAATGGGCCACCGGGTCTCCGTGCCCGTCATATAGATCAAATTTAGGCATCTTGAATCCCACCGGCAACTGAACATCGGGAAATAGACACAAATCCTTGTAGGCTATGCTCACCTAGCCTCCCAATCCCTGCATGTTTCTGAATGACTGTTCCAGCTTCTTACATTCCTGAACATCTCCTCCTGCTCTGGGTTTTTAGGTGGTTTCTCAGTTTTAGCTGGG